GGGAGCCCAGGAAGTCCTCTGGGAGGCCGCCTGGAGGCAACAGCAGCGCACGTGTCAATAGGTGGAGATCTCAACGGTGATTGGGTTTAACTGCAAAGATCAGAACCCTTCCCCCAAATAAAAACTCTTCTACGCAATTCATGTGGATGACCCATTTGATTTCAAAACGGCAAATGTGGCCAATAAGTGGCGTTCTGAGGACTCACCCAGCTCGTCCCTGGTGAAGGACAGACTGGTCGTGTTCTCGTTCAGGTTCTTGTTAAAGTCGATGCACAGGTTGCTAAGCTTCTTCTTGATGGTCTTGATCTCCTGCAACAGCATAGTCAAATATTTTCAAAAAAAGAGTTTCAAAACGCACCTTCACAGCATTAAAAAAAACATATTACACAAACAGTGATTTCATTAAAGAAGCACACTCCTTTCTGAAAAACGCCACACAGGAGTCGGTGACTCATCTTAACCATCCATTCAGATAACTTTATCACAGAGAGATCAGCATCCTTTTTAATAAAACTATATGATAGAAGCGATTCGGTTTGTGTAAAAAAAAAAAAAAAAAAAAAAGATCCCTCCCCCAAAAAGTGTCGCTAACAGGAAGGAAGCAGTGTCCACCTCTTGTGTCTCTCTGGACAGGTGGAGCCCGTTCCTCCTCCCCAGCTTGATCAGTCGCTCCATGTAACGCTTGGACTCTGCAGTGAGGCTGCCGCCATCCACCTTCTTCTGTAGGGACAAAGAAAAGAGCCCAGATGAGAAGAAGGAAACAGGTTTGATAGGAAAGAGGCTTGTTTTATCTACTTTGACTGTCAGCAAGCGGTCGCTGATCTCTGCAGCGTCATTGTCATTTGGTCCGGCTCACACCAACCACAGCAGCTTTGGATCAACCGTGCTCCTAAGCTTCGGTATCATGTTACACGTCATTAAGTCTGCTGTCGCGTGTGTATAACGGCGGTGGTCGGATATCGCTGCATATTTACAGTGTGTATGTACCTTTTAATTAGAGGAGGTAGTTATTATTTGCTTAAGATCATTAGTGGATATTTGTTTTCCTCCCGCTTCGATCTGATTTGTTGGTATTTTGCGCATCCTGAATCCAGCTGCTTGTGGGCTTCACCTCAAAGCGTAAATAAACTTCACCGTCCCCAATGTTCTGCTGGAGCTCAGGAAGACGGGACTTGTTACCGTTTTTCTCCTTTCTTGGTTGTTGCCCCAGTGACCGAGTGCCGCTCCCCCCGTCTCATCTCTCCATCAGCTTACCTCCAGGGCGACGATCCTCAGGTAGACGTCCTCCCTCATGCTCATCTCCACGTCGAACTCAGACAGGCGCTTATCGGCGTCGGTGCTCGCCGCTCGGACCTCCTTGCTGGAGGAGACGTGCTGCGGGAAGTCCAACATGTTCCTTTGGACTGAGATGGGACGAGGGGGGGGGGGCAGGATTGCAGTGATTTGGGTTTGCTTTACACACACAGATCGTTCACTGATGGAAGCCGGATGGACGTATCTAAGGATTTCACAAAGGCAGCCTGTTCTGTTCTTAGATGCTTTAGAAACAGGACGTCTTAAAAGAGCAACGTTGAAGCAAATATTTTAGCAACTTCCTTTCATATTTGTATAACACTTGACTTCTTTACAGGGATTGTAATAAAGGTGATGAAGTGGTCCGTGAATGTGAGGCACAAAGGTACATGGTGGAGGTTTGTTTATCTTTCATAATTAGGATGAAGTGTCTTAATTGAATTGAGCTTTTGAGCTGAATCTCCTGGTTCAGACGTATTATTTCTTACAGCTAGATCTTCTTTGTTTCATTTTGGTGCAACCTTCCCCTGAGGCGGCAGCAGCGCGCTGGAGGCGCTTTCAGCTGGCTCCACACTAAACTGCTCTCCATTGTCGCAGCAGCAGCTGGTTCAGCTGCTTTCTCTGCAAAGCGCTGACGAGCCGCTGGCGTCGCGTACGGATTCTGCCGACGCAGAGCTTAAGCGCAGAGCTCACAAAGGGCCGCCGGCCCGACTGTGTTCAGGCTCGCGCTGCGTTCGAGATCGATTCACTTTCAGGTTCATCACGTGTCAATGGAGCAGAAATATCTGGAAGGCTAAATATAAAAAGGTAACATTTTGAAAGCTCTGCTAGCCAGGGGCGATAAGATTTTACTTTAACTCTGATGTTTTATATTCGTCCTCATTGTCAGACTCAACCAAACAAAGAATGTATTAACTGTATTGACATGAAGTAGACGCCTGCCGTTAATCTCTATTAAAGTCCTGAACTAAAGCTCTAAATGTGGATTAATCCACCACAGAAATGAGTCCACAAAAAAAGCACTATTTCATCTTGTTTGATAAAAACTACAGCGATCAGCTACTAGAGACTCCCACCAAAACTCAATAGTTCTTCATTGTTATCTTGTGGCTGGCGTGTCTGAGTGGATCAACCTGAAAACACCCGTCTCATGTTGAAGGAAAAAAGATTAAGACGATATGAAGCGAAAAAAGAAAGGATTTAGCCGTTTTCAGTGACACATTTTGATCTTTTTATGGAACTCAGCCATCATTATAAATGACTTGTAGCGTTTAAGCACACTCCGACATCAGATACAAGACTCCTCTGAAACATTTATGATGGATCAGATGTGCATTGCTTTTGTGTGCATAAGTTTTAGTTCATGTTAGCCGTTTTTGTTTTCAATGAATGTTGATTCTGTCACCTGTTAATATTAGAGAGAATTATTGATTTCATTTATATGACAGCTCCCGACTTTTTTATATAATTCATATAATTAAATTATATTATCATTATAATAATAATAATAATATGTGTGCAGAGGTTGTTAATGTACAATGTCACATTAGATCGTTACAACTTTCCAATTTCCTGGCTATGAAAAAAACAGGATCATCATGTGAACTGTGCTACAGCGTCACTAGGCAAAGGCTGATTGGTGGACACTGACCCGTGTACTCCACCTCCACGTCAGCGAGGGCCTTCAGCGTGTTCTCGAAGGTGACGCTGTCGAGGGCCAGCGCTCCGATGGCGTCATACACGGCCTTGGTGTTGACGATGAGCTCCTCGGAGAGCTGCTGGATCTGCTCAGGGTTCAGGTCCCAACGGAGCCGGTTCTCTGCGCAGACCGGCACCGCGGTGCCAGACACCACCTCACCTGGGACCGGACATAAGGGGACAGGTCAGTGCTTCTGGTGTGCTCGCTCAAATTAGGACAGAATGTTTCTGTGTTTACTTGTGATGTATATCATTGGATTAGTAGCTCACATTAACACATAAGCAGCATGTTTATGTCACAGTTGGTAAACCTGCAAAATCAGCAGTGTATCCAATACTTGTTCTCCACTGTATACAGTTCCGCAAAATGTTGATCATTTGGTTTTTGATCTGTGCTCGTTGTGCAGGAACTGACGATATGTGGCATGTATTGAAGTATTTTGGATTGACACTCCCTTTTGGAATCATTAAAGTCACGATTAGAACACTATAGCTCAATTGGGCCTTAATAAAGAACATCACCGAATGAACACCGTTACAGGAACTTTAATCTACAACGATTTGGAAATTAAAAAATTCCATTAATCATTTTTATTCACTAAATTATTAAACAGTAAACATTCGCATGAATGGATTACCTAAATACAAAGATGACTAAATCACATGTTACAAATTAGCACATGTGAGCGTTGCTCGACACACTATCTCAACCTATTCCTGATCAGGTAAACACATTCCTACATACTCACACAAGAGCTGAATATCACTTGGCTCCGTCCTCATTTCATTAATATACTGGAGTCATCACACATTATATCAAACAAATCCATCAACTCATCAAAACAGGAACCCTGTTGTCATTTTCATTCTGTTTGACTAAAAGGTTATTACAATAGCCAACTATGTTATTATATATCACATATTTATTGTACATATTATAATGGTATTTATTCAATATTTGTATTATTTAATTTTTGCAAAGCTTGATAACGCCAGTCTGCTTTTCCACCAAAATCAAAGATATAATTTGAGAAAACAAATACCACATTCTACGCTACTCTAACGGTTCCATGGCTCAATGAATGAGCACTGTGAGCTAACATGCTAACGTGGATCAATTACAATTAATGCAGGCTGCAAAGAAACGAGCCACCAATATAACTCAACGGGGTTATTGCTTCGTTCATGTTTTTATGAGGATATACTCCACCGAGAGCTAAAATAATGCTTCAGGTAAATTCTAATCAACGGACAGGTAACAGCCTAAACGTCACAGCACAGCTGCTCAGCTAACGGAAGCTAACAGTGACGTTAAACTAGCACAGACACACTCAGAGCAAATGAAATGTAACGATCACAAAGACAGTCAGAGACCAAACAAGCGGCCATGGTCCAGTCACGTTAAAAGCACCAGGACATGACTCACCTGTCGGCCCCATGGTTCAGGTATTAAGTGAAGCTTCGGTAGGTTGTGTGGTGAACGGACAGGCGGCAAAGTGCAGGACGAGGAGGCTGCACCGGAAGAAGAATGAAATGCATGGTCCAACATTTCAAAATAAAGCCCCACATTCCTATCTGCTCAATCACACTGGGACAGATGTATTTTTAAACGTATTTAGTGCCATGTGAAGTTGTAGAATAGCACAGATAGACCACTAGCACCTGCCCTTTTGCCCTGCATGACAAAAGAGCCCCTTCTGCTGGAACCCAACGTACCCAAAATGCCTTGTTGGTGTGAGAGGTCAGAGGAGAATGGGCAGACTGGTTGGAGATGATAGAAAGGCAGCAGGAACTCAACGATCCACTTGTTACAACCAAGGAATGAAGAACACCATCTCTGAACCATTCAGATGGTTGGAGTAAACAACATGAAAGCATGGCTTTGTACAACACTTCAGGCTGGTGGTATAATGGTGGGGGGGATATTTTCTTGCCACACTTTGGGCTTTACATATATATTTACCAGCTGTTTTTCCGGCTGGTTAACTGGTAACTTTACACCGGAAACCAGCCCCACGCGCTACCTCACCGGCGCCTAGTGTGACGACGTAACTCCGCGTCATGCTAACTAGCTAGCTGAATGACGGCTACGATTACTCGAAGGAGCGGAGCTAACATCACCTTATCCATTACCAGGCTCATCGATACTGAGACACAGAGACAGCTGGTAGGTCAAATGCATCGCTCTGCCACCGGGTCCGACGAGGCAGCGCGGCACGTTTCTCGTACGTCAGCGCCGCTGCAGTGAACGTAAAGGGGTCGGCTAGCTGTTAGCGTGGTGCCGTTGTAACGGGAGTTGATGTCACGTCACGCCAAGCCCCTTTTAAAACGGCATTACAACATGACCTGGCTTTTTGGGGGGGGTTACAAACTAACCTAAGCGCCTTCTGGAGTATACTTTGAACTAATTACGTAATGCACTTTAAAACAATTTCCTATTCGGCGTACACCAAATACACAAATGTGTGCTCAAATAATTACTGTTAAGTCTTCTAACAGCACGTTCGCCCATTGTTATCGCAAGGGCAATGCGACGTGTAACGCCAAGTGTCAATCTGTTCTTTTGCTCTCCGATAAAACTGTTTACTTAAAAAATGTGATTTAAAGAGAAGCGTACGTAATCTCATACCTAACACTGGTTTCTGCTGCTGATATCCAAAGTTAAACTGCCAGAACTTCCCACGGTTTGCTAGCGTTACACGTTTAAGTCACTTAACTTTACAATCACTTGTCCGCTTGTTTTATCATACATGTATGAATACACCAACATGGCCAGTATCCGCTGTTAGCTGTAAGCGTTGCTAAGCATTCCACGTTAGACTTAGTCGGAGTTGCTAGAATATTCGACATGCTAATGCTAAAGGAGGCTAGCTACACCGATGCCGTTAGAGCGGTGCAGTGGAAGAAAAGTTGATTTAAAGGAAGTGGATGAAGAACAGTAATTTGAAAAGTAATTAAAGCTGTTTGGAAAATGTTGTGATGACTGAAATATTATATTCAATTGTACCGAGTAAGACTCCACGACTGGAATGATGTAAATCCAATGTAAAAGTTTAGAATTGATAATGTATTTACAACGTGTTTTGTGTGCATGACGATTCTTGACATATCTCGTCGTGCATCGTCATCTTCTTTTCTGGCTGCTTTTCCTTCATCTTGTTGCTGTTTTGACTTTTGCAGGGTCTCTCTCCCACGGTGACCACAGCCTGAGCCTCCGCCGCCATGACGGACAACAAGCGCCTCGCTTTCTCCATCCTCCAGTTCCTCCATGACCAGCTCCAGTCAGGGAGTCTGACCTCAGGCGCCCAGGAGAGTCTGGAAGGTGAGTTCCAAGTGCAAAAAGAATACACAACTAAATCAGCAGACTGTGTCATATTGTGCGTTTACCATTTTAGTATGTCAGGGTATGAACTCTGTTCACTGAACAAACGTGTCATAAATCGCTATTTCCATCATGAGCTGATGAGAGTTTGATTCAGAGTGGTAGAAGTGTGATGAGCTGTTGGAATCTTCTCCGCTGATCATCTTTTTGACCATTATCCAAACTATATTTTCATTCATTGATCAATGAGTTTTACTGATCATCTTGATACTTTTAAATTAGGACCTGAGGTATTTTTTTGATCAATAGCTTGTGGAAACAAGTACAGTATCTACAGCTGTAAATCCAATCCTTCGGACATTGAATCAACACGTATCATATGCATTATGAAAAATGTCTGACCTGGTATCTGCAGATAATAAAAGTCTTTGATCAGTTCATCCATACCTGTCATCGTTGCTTTGATTGATTTTATAAATTGTTTCCCATTTGCGCCCAGATTAAACTGTTATTTTCCTGCCAAAACACTGATGTATAATTGAGACAAACTAATGGAGATGCATCTGTTGAGTGTCATGGTATTTTGACTCGGTGAATCATTCTGGCTTTCAACTTGGTTGGACTTGGCACGTCCTGCAGTTGCTGTTCAGTGCTTGGAGACGGCATTTGAAATCACGACCGACGACAAGACCCTCGCCGTCCCCATGACGTTACCAGAGATCTTCGCCTCAGCCACAGACAAGGTAAGCGAGCCTGTGTGACCGTGACGAGTAAAATATAACGGATTAAAACCGGGACATTTGTTGGCCTCTTTGGACCTGTTTCTGTGCACGCAATAAAGTAATTCTACCCGGGGATGTCTGAATTACTCTTTGTGTGCGCGTCTTTCAGCTTCCAGTTGAGTCGCATGTCAACAACAACTCTGCTCCTCCACAACCGCCAAACTCCCTCACCGAGGAACAGAGAGAAGAGGCAGAGGCGCTTAAAACCGACGGTGAGACTCCTCCTCAGACAACTGCCACAAAGAGGATTGGTCTTTTTAGACTGGTTCCTGTTGCTTTGGGTTTTGTCACCGATTTAGTTTGTCACGAATGAGGGTTTACGTTGTCCTCCGTAGGTAATGACCAAATGAAAGTGGAGAATTTTGCAGCTGCTGTTGAGTTTTACTCAAAGGCCATCGCCATCAACCCTGAGAATGCCGTCTATTACTGCAACAGGTCAGTCCAGCGCTTCTATACGCTGTCTTTTTTTCTTTTGTTGCTGTGGCAACAACAAAGGCAGCCACGTCATTTTATTTAAAACCAATAAAAGTCCAGACACTGCTTGAGTCTTGGACGAAAGTTGGTCATGTGCCTGTTTTTCTTTCAAAACATCCAGCCTTACTCAAGTTATCCAGGTCAGTCCTAGTTTTCAAGTGATTTGTAGAAGTGGTTAACTCTGGGTTACCAAGTTACCTCTGTAGTCATCCAGAGACTCGGCCCACTGCACTGCACTTCATGGCGGCTTTGTTTGTACTGTAATCCAAGGCGGCAGATATCAAAGTCCATTTGAGTTTTAACAAGTAGAGCGCAGCTGCTTCATGATGCAGAACAATTTGTGAATGCATTCTGGATAAGATGAGCTAGGTTACAGTGAAGGTGTGTGTATGTGCATGTTTTGAAGAGAATAATGAATTCTTCACAATCCATCCAAGTGATTTCAGTGTACAATTACACGTGAATTAAGTGTATTACACATGACATGTTGCTTTGTCTTTGTATAAAAGTGGTTCCTGTCTTTCTCTGAATTCAGTCATTGCAACTGGCACTCAAAGTATATCCTTTTTGTGCTTGTGCAGGGCTGCAGCGTACAGTAAACTAGGGAACTACGCGGGAGCGGTGCAGGACTGTGAACAGGCCATCAGCATCGACCCAAACTACAGCAAAGCCTACGGGAGGATGGGGTAAGGAAAGCAGCTCTTCTCATCATCGACCTTCAGTAACAACCTCATCTCCTGAAATGCAGAGGAGTCAGAGGAGGGATGAGGTCCACAACCAAAGGCTGGCTGCGCCGCTACGCTTTGGTCCCAATAAGTGCTGATGTCACACGGGATTCATGTATTCTCACTTTAAAGGCTTGAGTGTCCTGATCAAAGTACTCATGTGTTCTGTCATCACCCGGTTTCAGTTTGGCTCTGGCCAGCCTCAACAAACACACAGAAGCAGCAACTTACTATAAGAAAGCTCTGGAGCTCGACCCTGACAACGACACGTACAAAGCCAACCTGAAGATCGCAGAGGAGAAGATGGAAACGTCCAGCCCAGTAAGAACAGGACAGAAGTAGACTGCTTATTCTGAACCAGGGATGCTGTGACGAGTCCCTCCTTATACACGTGTGTCTCTCTTTGTCAGACAGCAGGGATGGGCGGAGTAGATCTGGCCGGTCTGCTCAGTAACCCCGGCTTCATGAACATGGTGAGAGCTCATTCTGGTTCTTCTGTCTGAATTATTAGAAACCCCTCATCATTATTATTATATAGTGTACTACAGCCACACTCCGCAGTGTGGGGTTAGAGGTGGGACAAGCTTCTCCGAGTGTCTTCTCTGCACATCCTTTTGGACCTCTGCTTAGTGAGCCACTGAGACGTTTTATGGAAGATCTAAACATCTGTCTCCCTGCAGGCGTCCTCTCTGATGACCAATCCTCAGGTTCAGCAGCTGTAAGTTGATTTAGCTTTTTCTCTGCAAATATTTGCTCTTTGGCGTTTGTTTAAGGGTATTCTCTCTCTTTCAGGATGTCGGGGATGATGTCAGGAGCGTATGGTGGGATGCCAGGAGGAGCCAGTGAGGGAGGTGGAGGACTAGGTGGAGGACTAGGAGGGCTGGGAAATTTAGGCGGACTAGGGGGAGGATTAGGCGGATTAGGCGGATTGGGCGGACTAGGGGGAGGGCAAATAGCAGCAGCAGGAGGGCAAGCAGGGGGAGTAGGAGGAGGACTCGGAGGAGGACAGGGAGGCGGAATAGGCGCGGGAGTAGCAGGAAGTGCGGCGCCCTCCGGAGCCGGTGCTACGGGCGGAGATTTGTCAGGACTGATCCAGGCGTAAGTACCCTGCGGTCTCTTGGAGGGTTTGTAAAGTGTCAGGAGGTTCACAATGTCCCATTTGCTGATTTTTTTTGTTTTTGCAGAGGTCAGCAGTTTGCTCAGCAAATGCAGCAGCAGAACCCCGAACTCATAGAACAGCTGAGGAGTCAGATCCGCAACCGAACGCCCAGCGCGGGAAACGAGGAGCAGCCGTGACACTCAGACACGGTAATGTTTCAACTTCATCGCTTCTGCTTTGAAAGCAAAGGATATAACAACACAGACATTATGCACAGTAACAGGAGCATGATGTCAGTGATGACCTCACTTTGCTTGTTGGGACATTTTCTTAGTATGACAAGTAGCTTAAAAATGTGTATTATGTACAGTACTTGTACTGAATGTAGGCACGAAGCCTGATGAAATGAGTGAACTGTTGGGCTCTGAATGTCTCTGCTAAAAACGTATCATGATGAAGAAATCGAAGTAGAGGTCAGACATTTCGCTCAGTTGCAGCTTCATTGGTGAATAGAGCGGATGTCCCAGCGCGCTCACGCCTCCTGCTGTTGGCTCTGGTTTTTAACTTGCATGTTGGCAGCTGTTAACGTGTGTCTTCCTGTCTCTGTTTCAGGTCGGACAGGTTTGCTTGTGGATGAGACGAGCTGTTATGGATCATTTATATCTCGAAGGACTAAAAGGAAGTTGTTTTTTTTGTTTTCCCCCTACATCACTTAACAGCTGCTGCACGAGAGAACAAGGGGCTCCATCAGCTTCCTTCAGGAGCTACGCCACCAAAAGAGAACCACTTCCCGCTTCTCTGTGTGGTTTTTATAAAGCTGATTTTGACATTTACCACTGTGGTACCAAACACAGATTCATTCTACTGCATCTGAATACATTGATGCTCTAATAGGAACATGGCTATTAAAACAACAGAGTTTAAAAACACAGACTTGACATGTCTTCTTAAAACCACACAGCTGAATTTCAAAAGTTTTGTCCATTACCCTTTTCTGCTCTTAGTGTGTGTGGTGGGGGGGGAGAAGTGAGCGTATGAGTGTAGGTTAATTTTGCCTGCGTGTGTGTTTGTGTCACGTTGAGTTGTGATGAGGCAGAACGCTTTCACAGTCTTGGCAATTAAAAAGAGCCTAAACTTTTTCTACTTTGCTCCTGTCTGATGATTGACGGTGTTCTGCCTTGCTTTCCTTGTCAGCAGCCTCACTCTGTTTCCCTGACTCAGCGGCGTGAACCCACACTGAAGTGCTTTGGCCAATAGCCAAATAGTGTCGATCACTCCCATTCAAGTGGACCACAACCCGCTTTCCTTCCGACTCCTTAATACACGAGGCAATATCTGTCTCGTCATATTTCACGTCTCCATACTGCGAGCGGTGACGTTTTAGAGGGCTTTTCTTTTTAAGCTGGTACGGGTGTGCTACTCGGAGCATGTGCACAGTGATGAGAAGCTCAAATATAGATGCATGTTTGGTTTTGAGGTGTCACAGGTAAACATTGTGGCTGTAGAGATCACCTGAATGGTGAAGTATGTGATGTTTATATGATTAAAGTGATGAAGGTCAGTTTAACCCTTTAGTCTTTATATGCACCTGGTTTATTGTTTGCCAGAGCAACACCTGTAAAATGAAATGAACTTGTAAATGTATATAATAATGTATTCATAATGACACAAATACTATTTCACTATAATATTCATTTAAGATGACATGCTGAGACAGTCTTTAATAATGAATGGGGTTGTGATGGCAACACATCATGTGTCTTTCTTTTATTAATTTAATATAAAATGCATTAAATATGTATGATGGATGAATGAAGTTAAAATACATTAATGTAAAAATAGGAAAAACACAAAATATTGAAACTAATTTTGTGTTTAATGGCCATATTATCACAAGCTACATAAGATCTAATCTGATCAAATCTATTATTTTTGTTTTTTCGGTGTCACTTTTTGATGTGACACCTGATAAGTTAATAATTTTCTTCAAGAAGAATGGGCCGTAGAATTATTTCTAACTTGTGGTATTGGTACAATTTATCAAAGGACCGGCATACACCAACACGTAAGGACTTCCTGAATTACGTCATTCACATTTCCACCACTCAGCGCCCAGAGGACAGGTGACGTGGCTAAAAGCGGAAGTACTCCAATACACCTGCTAAAGATGAGAAGGGGAAGACGTTTGGACAGGTAAACACGGTGACGCTGACTCATTTTGTAGTTTAGAATGAGTATGTTAAGATGGAGTCACTGTTTCGACAAAAAACGTCGATGTAAAACGCATCTTTCTGATACAGTCGTAGTTTTCAAGCGGCAGGGAGGCTAATGATCGCTAGCTTAATGTTAGCGGCTAACTTTAAATGTTAAAGTTTGCCGCCGGTAGCCCGAACACTAGCGGAAACGCTCAAGTTTCTTTCTAGGGTAAACGAGTAAAACGTATTTAAATAACTGAAAAAGTCAAATGATATAATAACTTCTTAATATGTATGATTCAGCAGCGTACCTGCAACTTTAAGATACATATAATAAATTAGCATTGTTATGACTTATGCGCGTTGAGGTTGTACTATGAAGGTCCGCACAGGAAGCTGAGTAACGTTTGATGTCTTGTTGCTTCACGTCGACGGTCACCTGCAGCTACGACGTAAACAGAACTTATAATAAATGGTGAACAGTCAAACCCACAACGACAAACAACTACTTGACGTCGGCAGGGATTTCATTTAACCTTAATTTACCTTATTATGCAATCAACAGTGTTTAAGAGTGCGTAGCTAACGTCCCTCTGATCCTCACTACTTCACACAATATTGTAAAGTTACTACAAGCGAGTCGATAGGCCTGATTTTAAAATGTTACTGTCACCAAAGATGATAAATATTATGTAACTCAAAATGTATGATGAGGCACAATATCCGATTATTTTTTATAATGCATTTTTGCAGTTGGTTGAAGCGGAGCTCATATTGAACTATCAACTACCATTAATTATTATTTACCTTTTTATAGATTATTCTGCCGATTATTTTCTCCATTAATCGATCGTTTGGTTTAATAAGCAGTGACATATGTTGTCAAAAGCCACACTTTCGCTCTGGCTCTGTTTTGTCCAGCACGACAGTAGATATCCACCTATGTGAAGCTGGAAACCTGCTTGAAAAATGGCTTAAACCATCAATATTACAATTTCTATTGACTAATCAGATCATCAGTTGCTTTTTTTAAAAGGTTTTACATGGACATTTTCACGTGTTTTGTGTGCAGAAACCATCATTTTAAACTAGTAGGCAACGCTCTCAGAAAAATACAATATTAAAACAAATAAACAGAAAGTGTCACAAAATCAAGTACACATTTGGTCTTCCATACTTGAGTTAATATACTTAGTTACATTCCACCACTACAAGCTAAAAATTAATACATTTTTGATGATATTATGGGGCAGATGAGAGCAACACAACAGCAATAAATCACCATCAAAATACAATCACCTCAAATTATTCTTTAGTACTGCTCAGTACGTAAGTCATTGCTTTAAACCACGTCAGGAGATTCCTCCGCCTGAAATTTTGTGTTGCCCACCGCCAAATGTTGGCTTTTGTTGAGTTTATTCTGCACTTTCTGATCGCGTAACATCTCCCACTCGGCTCAAAATGTCTCTGTCTGTCCCGTTGGAAGCTGCAGCCGTGGAGTGAAGCAGCCGAGTGGAGGTGTTGACATGGTGTGTGTCATGAGGCTGTAGTGTTGGAGCTTAAGGATGGAGGTCCTGGTGGCCAAGCTGCTCGGCCTGCTGGGATTGTTTGGCCTCATGCTGGCGGGGGTCCTGGTCCCGGTGCGTCTCCTGCTAGCCGACCACGACAAGGCGCACAGATACAGGAGATCTCTGTCTCTGTGTAACTCGTTCGGAGGAGGCGTTTTCCTGGCAACGTGCTTCAACGCTCTGCTGCCGGCCGTCAGAGACAAGGTGACACACGCGCACACACACACACACACACTTAAGCATTGTTAGTTCTGTGTGCAGGACACGCATGCGTGCATATGTATAGGTCCACATGTTCTGGAAGATTTCTGCACCAGCTGGAGAAATTCGGGTCATGTATGATCTGTACTTGACGGGCAGAGATACGTAAACAATGACATCTTCGCAGATGCTCAACATCTGTGTTTCCGTTTGGCTCAGCGGTCTCTGAGTCGGTGACCTGGTGGCCGATCTACTGAAGCGCCAAATACTTTATCATCAAGTATTCCCAGCGGTTCACTCCTGCCACATTTAGTTTATTATGGGCGCACATGTGATCTAAACGCATGAATGATCTGATTCAATACCGTAAATAGTTTTACAAATAGAGGAACAAAACGACACAACTACTTTAACAGAGTTTTGACTTGAAACGTGAGAACCAATGAAAGGCCGTCTCGTGGGTTTGCTGGATGAGTTTTGACCTGCGTTGATCTTCAGGGTGTGTTGACACTCCTCAGGTGGCCCAAGTGTTCCAGCAGCTGAAGATCAGCAGCGACTACCCTCTGGCAGAGACGATGATGATGCTCGGCTTCTTCCTCACCGTCTTCGTGGAGCAGACCATTCTCACCTTCCGGACGGAGAAACCGTCGTTCATCGACCTGGAGACGTTTAACGCAGGCGGCTCTGAGGCTGGAAGCGACTCTGAGTACGACACTCCCTTCATCCCCTCTGCGCGGGGCTCGCCGAGAGACGATGGCGGCCACCGCTCCGGGGGACACAATCACGGGCACTTCAGCCCCGCCGAGCTGGCGGGGGCGGGGCCTCTGCGCCTGGCCAGCCTGGTCCTGGCTCTGTCCGCTCACTCCGTGTTTGAGGGCCTGGCGCTCGGCCTACAGGAAGACGGGGCCAAGCTGGGCAGCCTCTTCCTGGGCGTGGCCGTGCACGAGACGCTGGCCGCCGTGGCGCTCGGAGTGAGCGTGGCCAAAGCGTCGCTCGGCATGAAGGACGCCGCCAGGCTGGGTGTGACGGTCAGCCTGATGATCCCACTGGGCATAGTGGTGGGGATGGGCATCGAGTCCACTCAGACGCTGGCGGGCAGCGTGGTGTCGGTGGTGCTGCAGGGACTCGCCGCCGGCACCTTCCTGTTCGTCACCTTCTTTGAGATTCTGTCCCGAGAACTGGACGACAAACGGGACCGACTGCTGAAAGTCCTCTTCCTCATCCTCGGCTACGCGGTGCTCGCCGTTCTCGTCTTCATCAAGTGGTGACACACATGAAGTGCTCTGACACGCGCAGCAATACCAAAGGGGAAGTCATAACGTCACAGAGGCAGCATAGTCCAGCTGTGAGAGAAACACACATGTGGACCAGCTCTAATCGAACTGTTTATTCTCCTCAGCTGTGTCTGTTGAACCCAAAAGCAAATGTAAACCTAAAGAGTAATGTAACCCCCCCCCCCTGCAGAAACACCCTCCAGAGGTTTACCTTCTCACCCAGCTGTGGCTCCTCGACTCTGTGACATCACTGCTACGTGTAGTCATGGAACCTGGAGTGCAGCTTCTCTTGGTGTTTCCCTCTGAGCCCCTCACTTAAATGTTGCAGCGGGTGAAGCTGAATCTAATTTGTTTAACTTACTGTACTGCTGAGTTGGTGAATCATAATAATACACCCTCATTTATTAGTTGATCATATTAGTAATCTGCAGCTGTTCTATAAATGTAGTGGACTTTAGAGGAATAATATTCCCCTCTAAATGCTGAAATAGTATCAGTTGCTTCGCTACAGTTGTTGTGTAAATGAGTTTACACAGAGAAGTTGAAATGGTCTCAGTGTGACTTCAGTTATTTATCAAACCTTTGTCTCTATGATTTCAGCCTTTCAAAGATACTCAACCTTTATCTATTTACGTGTAATCATTATTTGTATGACTTTTTCATCGTTGATTGTGATCTTATTGTGATTCCGAACAGTTTTGTATTTATGATGGTTTGTGACATCGCATTGTTTTCTTTGTGTTAGTTTAAATTAAATGGATTATTATCATACTTCCTGTTTACAGTTTTTGAATTTGCACAACCTTCACTTCATGAAGCAGTCGCTCAACCCGATTCGTCCGTGCTTCACTCCCCTATCTGCACTCTGATGTTAATTACACATCACCTTGTCGTCACACATCTCAAGTTGTTGCACACACTTCGATCTCAAAGCATCAACCAGCAACCCACAAATATCCAAATCTCTAAACATTCAGTCTGTTGAGAGGAGGAGGAGGAGGAGAATGGTCAATGAGGCTCTTGCCCCTAGTAGAACACGAGCTCGACCATGCTATGAGCACGAGCGCCACCATCAGAACCTTCAGGATGGAGAACCGGTACCAAATGTATTTGCGTTGTGTACCGTAATACTGCATATTGATAGAATACAGTGTACTCACAGTATTTGTGGGGGGGGGGGAGGAAGGTCAATCCCATGGCGCTCCACTGCAACCTCACTTTAATATTTTAGTTCCAGTTTGATTGCCTGATCATCTCTCTTTATTGGTGAAGCTTTACATTTGACCATGTGGATCCTCATCCTTTGACCTGTGGCGCCACCTACTGGCTGAGATACACATCGCTGCTCTGTGGCTGTTGGTTGAGATGCATCAGAGCCCAGATGGGCTGTTTCACAATCCTTTCTTTCACCCGCTTGGACTTTGTGTTGAGCTTGTGCTGTTCATAGTGCAGAAATAAAAGCCTCTTTGAACTGCAATAGACTATATTTATTTTTTATATTAATTTTTTTTAATTGACTGGCCTTAACTTGGATGACAATCACCACCACTTAGCAGCAAAGCCACACATAATTTGCAGCACATTTCTCACAGAAGGACTTTGTTTATTTTTCAAAAAAGTGTGCAGCGAATTGTTCAGAGTTTCTTTTTCTCCACAGGCGCTTTTAAGGTGATCAGATATATTACTTCCTTGGAGCTATGGTTGGAACCAGATTAATACATTATTTGTCCTTCTGCCACATCAAAGCTGTAAAGCTTTATAAGTTTGCCAGTAGTTTGCTTTGGAGTTGCTGGAGTTAGGACATTGTTAGCTGAGCTTAGTATAACGACAGGAAGCAGGGGGCCACAGCAGGGCCGTTTCACCTGCCACATACTGTAAGGCTCACTTTTAATTATACCATCTTATTTGCTTCTGTACAAAAAACCAGATTGTAAAACCATAACTTTTTCTTTTAAAGAGCGTTAAGCTCGGCTGACCTCATTCTGGCTTCAGGACCACAACCACGGATATCAGTTTCCCTTCTCCTGTTCTCATCTTACTCACTCGACTCCCTAAATTTGGAACCGTTCCTTCAGACAGGATTCAGGGGTCTGTGGTGGATCCTCCTGGCATGACGGGTTGGTTGACTTCCTCTCTCAGCTGCCCTTAAAACTTAAAATCCATAAAGAAGAGATATGTAAAAACTCTGCTGCAAGATGCAACCTGCTGTCTGTCTGGGGCTTCATCAGTCCTGACCAGACACAAAGGTTTCACATCCTGCAGAGAGCAGAAAGTCGCTCTCGATCCAAATCGCTGCTCTGAGCCCACTGACAGTATCTTCTGTGTGTGGGGGGCCGAGGCCTGAATTGGAGGGAGGAAACAACAGGTACTCATCTGCTCGGCTCTTCATTGAGAAGGCCGAGGCCTGAGATGGAGGGCGCTGCCTCCCCGAGGTCCTCTTCCCTGGTCATCTGGAGGAGGGGCCAAGGCCTGAAGGCATCTTGTTGGACCCGGGGTTTGAATTTGTTTCATTTGGAGAGAATTGAATCTGTTGACTTCATTTCTTAGAAACATTCATGTTTTAATCAAAATGTTCCATGTAGGAAACATGTTCATCTACTTTAAATATTCTCTTCTTCTTCTGCCGTTATTCTAAGACGAGATGTCTCATTACAGGAGGAAGTGAGTCAACAACTGAAATCAGGCTTAAAGTGTCGACCGAAACCTTGCTGCAAGCTTGGCACGGCCATTTCATCACGTCCCCATCACACCTGAAGAAAATCACACACACCCTTATGGAGCCAAATCCAGGTCAAACGTTTTGTTCATTTGAAAAACAAATGTGAACCTGCAAGTAAGTTTTGTTGTTGAACAATGAAAAATACAACAATGTATTCAAAATGAAAATAAGCGGACGAAAAATATTTTCAGGATGAATATAGTTTTGACTCAGCGCCATATTTTTTTTGAATAAAATATTTTTTTATATTCACTATTATATTTTTCGGTTGCAGATTTTATATTTTCAGATTCAAAACTATTTATATTAATAATATATTTTCACGGGTGGCACGCGGAGGCAAGTCGTGGATAGCTGGCACTCACTGACAGCCAATCAAATTGCAGCACTGTTGCCACTGGCCAAGGTGCTGAAAAGCCAACGTCATTATGCTGTTTTCAGCTATTAATAAATAAAGGAAATGTTTACCTGTCTACTGGTTATCACTAGATTGTACTTACAGACCAACTTATTAGGGACTAGGGAGCAATAAAGTATCTATCTATCTATTGTACTGTTCACTACAGTGATTCACTTATTGATGACACATGTAGACATTAGTAATTGAAATATATTTATTAACAGTAAATGTTGAACACAGATATATCAACAAATTTGTATAGTCCTATAAAAACAAAAATGTTTCAGAAATAAAGACATCTAAATGTAACCGGGTGAAGTGGGGGCAGGGAGGTTTTTGGACTGCTAGATGGTCCGCACAGAGGGTGAGGGCGTACTGTATGGCGTTATATTTGTGCCACAATCCTGAGCGCGTAATTTTAAGTTTTGAGCACAGAGAACTATATTTTAGCAAAGAAAAACATATTCCGTGCGCGCAGTTTACTGAGGTGCCCTCGCCACAAACTGGTTTTCTGCGCGCAGGCAGCCGTTGCTGCGCTCTCTCTCTCCACCTCTTCACGCTGCGCTCGCTCGACTTGCAGCAGCGTTACATTTGTGCCACAAAACCAACCAATCAGAGAATTAAAGAAGGTCCATTGTGATTGGCTGTTGGTCTCCAATCACAACGCTAGTAGAACTACCTACAGCATCGCGGAAGCTCAGCGAGTTGCTGAAGTTTGCAGCATTTGTGCTAAATGCTAATGGCCTGGATTAAAACACTTGCTGTTCTCATCATTTGCTTCGGTCATGTCTGATGGTGGCTAGCCGGACTTCTAATATCACTCGTTTTTGTCTTCTTTAGGAAGCGTTGTTAAATGCCCCACCAGAGTCCTGTACGCTGCAGCCACAGCCAAGGACAAGGGCAGGCTGCAGCGTGTCATCCGCTCTGCAGAGAGGGTGATCGGCTGCAATCTGCCGTCCCTGCAGGACTTGTTCGCTTCCAGGTCTCTGAAGCGAGCTAAAAAGATCGCGGCCGACCCCTCCCACCCCGGACAAAAACTGTTTGTGCCCCTTCCATCTGGCAGGAGGCTGAGGTCCATCAGGACTAAGACCTCCCGCCACACGAACAGTTTCTTCCCGTCGGCAGTCGGGCTCATCAACAGAGCCCGGTCCCCCACTGACTGACTATAACATTCCACCGGTCACTCCCCCTCATCCTGCACATGCCACTTTAACTGCAATTCATCACTTTGTCACTTGTCACTTTGTCTCTTGTCTGTTACTTGTTCGTTAGTGCACTTTATGCTTAATATTTTTCTTTTTAACTTTTTAATATTTACATTTTTTAAACTTTATTCCCTTGTTTTATACTAACCCATAGCCTTAGCCTTATTCTACTAACCCATTGCATTAGCATTTCATTCCACTTTATTTTATTACTTGTGCACTGTTGTCTTGTCTGTCTACTGTCGCGCACTAACCGCCAAGACAAATTCCTTGTATGTTTGACATATTTTGGCTAATAAATGTTTCCTGATTCCTGATTCCTAAGGCGGCGGTAATAATCCCGACCGTTACACAGGCACAATGTTTTTGTTTTTCGCAGCGCCCCCGTCAGGCCAGGGGTGACGCTGCTGCTGACGTCCAGCTTGGCCCTGCAAATCAATGGTTCTCTCAACAACCAGTACAAAGAGTTAGACAGTGGACACCTTTTTTGAATAAAAAGGGCCCAAGACTTAAAAACGCCCTGATAAAACGGAGGCAGCCCTTTTATATTTAAAATATTGGGATCCATAAAAAACAGCAGTGTCCAGTCCCAGGTTGTCTGTACGTCTGAGGACACAACTGGCCACATCTCGCCACACTAAACCCTCCGGACATGTGAGGTATCTTTTCAAAAACTGTAACCTAAAAGTGGACAAGGCCCTGTCCCCCCTCCTCTCTGGGTAAAAACAGCACCCCTTGTGGCACCCAGTGTAGAACCTCCCAAAAGAAATCTACCATCTTTCGCTGTATGTTGGCTAGAAACCCCGAGGGAGGGTCTAGGCAGGTTAAGCGGTGCCACAAATGAGATGCAATGAGATTGTTTAAAACCAACACTCTACCTTTAAAAGACATCTGAGGGAGCAGCCATTTCCATTTTGCAAGTTTTCCCTCTATCTTCTCCGTGACGCCCTCCCAGTTCTTTTAGACCATGTCCCTTTGTCTCAGATAGATCTCCAGGTATTTAAAACAGTCTTTTCTCCAAACTAACCTTTGGGGAAGAACCGGGAGGCCGTCACGCCTTTCACCGACAGCAAGGACTTCGCTTTTTCTCCAGTTCACCCTCGCTGCCGATGCCTTGCTAAAATCCTCCACCACGCTGTTTAAAAGGTCTGCATCCCTCTGGTCCTTAATAAAAACAACAACATCATCTGCATAAGCTCATAAAATCATGTTCCTACTAAAACCAGGCCCTCCAGGCTAGAGCGTATTCTGCTGAGAAGGGGTTCCAGGGAAAGTAAATTGAGCATTCCGGACAGAGCACAACCCTGCCGGACTCCTCTACGCACCCTAAAAGGAGCGCACAGACTACCGTTTATCTTCAGCACACTCTCAACCTCGCTGTACAACACTTTGATCTTAGCTATGAAACCAGCGCTGAAAACAAACTTCCCCATGACCTTCCAGAGGA